TTTTTTCTAAAAGATTTCTAGATTGTCTATCCTTACAGTATTTGGAAATTCCATATTTGGTAATAATCCTGACTGTAATAGGTAGTATCAGTGTCGCGGGGTCTGTGTTACATAAAAAATGCGCACATCTTGATCACAAAAAATATTTTTTTAAATATAAATTTATTTGATAATATTAATATATTGAAAAAATAAAAAAAATTATTATTTTAATGTTATTAATTAAAAAAATTATTATTTTAATGTTTTTAATTAAAAAATTTTTTATTTTAATGTTTTTAATTAAAAAAATTTTTTTAAGCTTTACAATTAATAAAAACTATTTTCTCTCTTTTATTTATCCAATGTTCATATGCTTTTCTAAAATCAAAATCTTGGGTATCTGGCCCATTTAATAAAATCATTAAATGGTTATTCAATGTATTTATATGCATTTGGTTTCTCAATTTATTCTTTATCAACTTCATTTCTGAGAATATTCTTTCCACATGTGCATTAGAAAAAGGTATAAGAAGTATTATTTTAACAATAATCATTGAATTTGGATAATTGAAAAAAAAACTATCATCTATATCTAAAATATATTTCCATGATTCAACAAAATTCACTTGCATATTTTTGTAAGATTTTAGATAAAATTTTAGAGTGTTCCATTCTTCTATTAGTTTTCCTTTTTCAATTATTTCATCATACATCAATTTACTATCTCCGTAAAACTTATCCAAAAACTCTATCTCTTTCCGAACATACAGATCTAAATCACTATCAGTATCAGGAAGTTCATTTGGATCAAAAATTTTAAATGAAGAAAATAGTTCAGAATCAGGGAATCTATTATTGATGGCCTTTATCATTGCTAGTGAGTAATCTTTAACAAATGAAGGTACTGGACAATTGTTTTGTTCTAAATAATTTTTGAATATTATGCCATAACTTGGTGGAACTTCTCCATCACCTATAAATTCTACTGTTATCTCTTTAGTTGTAGCATCAATGCTTGGTTTGTATTGTGATAAAGATAGATTATCTAATTGAAATATTTTTATTAATTTTTTCAGAATATTTGTTAAATCAGCGAGAAACATTGTTGCAGTACTAAAGTTATGATCCAATTGTCCAAGTAAAACATTTGCATGCTTATCTCCATCTAACATATCTTCATTTAAAGCAGCAAGTACTGAATTCATAATTTGATGTAAATTATGCACAGAATTTGATAATGATAACCACCGAGTCTCACATAATTTCAATATTTTAAGTGTTGGCTCATCATTAATTTCCTGCATCAATTTCAGTAAGTCTTGCCTTTTATGTGATTTAGAAAAATACAAATATAAATTTCGTAATATTTGTTCATATTCTTGAAAATATTCTATTTCATCTGAAGCATCTTTTCCAGCTAAATGAAGTCGATGTGATATACAATGAATTGAGGACATAAAAGGATTGATTTCTTTTAATCTTGTAGCAACACCAGTTTGATTTCCTCTCATATTAGAAGCTCCATCACTTCCAAAATAAATTATTTTGTTATATGATATTTCATTTGAAGTACAAAATGATAAGATTTGACTATAAATATTTTCTGCTGTGGTAGATTCTAGATTGATCATGCCCAAATATCTCATATAGGGAATGTTATTAACAATATATTTTCCCACAATTGCTAAATATTTACTATTGTCAATGCTGTTAGCTTCATCAATCATTATACTCCAATAGATTGAGGAATTCAATTCCTCAAAGAGTGATTTCTTTATTACAGAAGCTATACTATCCAAAAAATCATGAGCAGAATTAGGATTTGTATAGCTTCCATATATTGATTAGGAGTAGGTGTACTTCCTAAACCAGCAGGTTTTAGAGTATAAGTTTTTTCAATAGTTACTAATTGACTATTATTCTCAGACTGTAATGTTGTTAATTTACATAGGTCAGGATAAATATTTAAGGAAAGATTTTGTTTAGATAGAAATAAACATTTCTAATTAATGAAATAATTGTTAATTTTTTTTTATTTAATTCATTTCGAAGTTGTGATTCTGACACTTCATGTTCACTGGTTTTTAAATGTCTTTTAATTCCTTCTAGGCTTAAATCTGTTGTACCTATTGCAAATTTTGTACTTCCATTTCTACTTCTGCAAAGTTTACAAAAAAAAGGACTATATTTTCATTTTCTTCACATTTTAACCATGTGTAATCATGAAAAAAATCTCTGTTAACATGTTGTCTATGATGTGTTGATTGATTAAACATTTTTAAATGAATCAATTGTAATAAAATTTGTTCTTTTTTAATTTATTTGAAATACTAAGCTTTCAAAAACATCTTGTATTTATACTACTTTAACAGAATCAATTATATTGTTAATAAAAATGAATTAATTATTTTAGGATGATAAAGAAAAAATAAGAATTAAACATCAATATTTATTGTTAAAAATAGAAAAATAAAACCATTTTATTTATTTTTATTTACTTTTTAAAATATAATTAAACCCAAAAACATTAATGATTTATTGTTAACAAAAATTGAAATAACAATAGTATTTTGTTTATTTTTATTTTTAAAAAAATAGAATTAAATCCCAATGTTTATTTATTTATTGTTAACCAAAAATAATAAAAGTATTTTATTTTACTTTATTTAAATTCAGTTACACGAAATTTTTCTGCACAAATCCTGCTAAGAGATTATTGGGTATCTTTAATGTAACACAAACCCCCGCACTGAATTTCAGACACTGGGTAGTATGCCATGAAGGGTTGATGCTGTTTTAGAAAGTAGAGGAAACCCGACAAGATATTAATTTTTTTTTAATAAAATATAATCAATTTAAAATAGTTTCATCTATTTTTTAATGTCTTTTATGTTTCAAATTAGTGAGCAGTTGGAGATTGAATCACTTTGTAAAAATTTTTACAATTTATTTTTTTCCTCATTAATTAATTCACCAAATGCTCTAAAATTTTAGAAGTAACTAGATTTAAACATGAGACACATTTTTTACTTATACCACAAAGGTCGTTAGAACTTGCTATTGTGGTCAATTTTTGAGTCAAACATTTTTCAGAAAATTCCGAAATTTTCATTTTTATCTTTTAAGGTTTGTAAAACAACAATGCTTTTATTTATATGTGATGAAACTTCAGTATATTATAATATTTGATATGAAGGTTAATTTTCACTTAATAAGCAGGTGTGATTGGGATAGTAAAATTTTTAGTTCTTGTCAATTTTCATTTTTATCTTTTAAGGTTTGTAAAACAACAATGCTTTTATTTATATGCGATGAAACTTTAGTATATTATAATATTTGATATGAAGATTAATTTTTACTTAATAAGCAGGTGTGACTGGGATAGTAAAATTTTTAGTTCTTGTCATGTTACTTTATTCAATCATTTGCAATGATCTGCAGGTGTCCCTATACTTTTGATCAGGAAGTTTATACAACTATTATTAAAAAACATCACAATTCTATTTTATTTCAAAGAATCCTCAAAGAAAATCAAAACTAGATAGATAATAAAGTGTATTACAACTAATATAAATAATAGGTACACTTCATTGCATATTTAATAACATTAAAGGTTGATCATGATGTAAAATTCAATTTATATGTGGAAGGGATCTATAGGCATATGAATATTTAATATCATTCAAAATGATGTGAACATGTAATATTAGATGGGAAATCTACATTTTTTTGTAGGAAAAAAACATGCATCATAATTGTTTCATTTATAGTTTTTGAAGTGCATTCTGCTTCATATTTGGTTAATTACTCACCCAATGCAAAGAGGAAAAATGTTTGGGATTGCAAAGGAAACTATTTATTATGATTTTATGCATACATTTTATATCATAAAGAATTCATATTCAACTAACTACATTGGATGTTGACCATCCTAAAACATTTTTAATTTGAAAAAATAAAATTTTTTATTAATATTAATAAAGAAAACCAAATTCCTATGAGATTAAAAATGAGAAGTTTATAATGTATATATACTAATACTGTATAAAAATTGAAGTTTTGTAAAAGATCATCAAGTCAATAAAATTTGATTTTTGCGTGATTTTTTAGAGGGTGATCATTGGAAAATTTAGCCAATGAAATCAAAGTTACAATGTGATAAGTGAATGTCCGTTTGCTTTTTTCCCTACATCGATTTATTCTTTGAATTCCTGATCATGCTATTAATAAATTTACCAAATGAAATTTTATTAGAAATTTTCCATAAAGTTTTTTATTGTGTAAAGTAAGAAAGTTTCTTAAAAATTTATTCAACTATTAATCATCAAATATAATGTAACAATAAATTTTTTTGTAGATATGAAGATTCTAATAAAAAGTAATTATCGATTATGATAATATAAGTAGAAATTTTGAAAATTTTATTAATTAACGTTATTGTCATTGTTATTGTTAAAAGATATTTCACAAGCTTTAAAAATCTTTGTAAATTAATGAGTGTTTGTAAATTATGGAAAGAATTGGTGCAAAAGGTGATTAGTGAACATCTTAATCTTATGCATAAAGAATGTTGGAAATTTGGTGTAAGAAAATTCTAATTTTAACTTATGGTTTTATTTTTAATATTAATTTTATTCCTTTTGTTTTAAAAAAGAATTTTATTTCTTCCTCTAGTTTAGATTTGAAATTAAAGAATCATCGTTTGAATATAATACTTTTTCAACATCATTTAAATATACCCCTCCAATAATTGAATACGAGTTTAGTAATGAATCTTCAACCATTATTTTTGATCCTGATAATGAATTATTTCCACGTCAATACACATTGCTTCTTTTATCAAGTCAATTATCAAAGAAAAAAAATATTTCAACGATTGAATATCACAATCTTGACGCATATAATCTTTTGCTAAATAGTGCTTCATCATCATCATCATCATCATCATCATCATCAAATAACGATAAATTGCCAAAACTTAAACCAAATGTTACTCAACGAATTAATTTCATCAATGATGAAAGTATTGAATTGTTATGGAAAGTCGAAGAAATATCTACGGCTAGTGCTTCAGCCAAATATGATGATTATAATAATAAAATGAATAAAAAAAAAGAAAAGAAAGAAATTTATAAATTTAAAATTAAGAAATTTAATTGTTTGGCTTTTAGGATTTTTTTAACTATGGATAAATATCAAAGGAAATATTTTTGATTTCTTGAATATAATAATCTTTTAAATTTTTTTTATTCAATCAAAATAATAAAAACTTTATTTTACATATTATTCATCAAATCAATTGTTGAGAATCTATATTAATATAGTCAACGTTGATGTAATATTTACATCAAAGCTTAAAATCATCATTTGTAATTATTAACAATTGTATTATTCTGCCAGCGTAATAATATTTAAGATGAGTGTTTGTGGCTATTGTTGAAGAATCATCTTAATTTTCTGTTCTTTAAAATAGCTAGAATGGCCATTTAGTAATTATTAGGTGAATTATGCCAAAAATCAATAGCTATTCTAACTTCTTAGACATTCGTTAGATCCACCAGCATACACCCAACTAAATATAAAACTTGATAGTATTGTTTGTCTTGACCCTGCATTATGTTGATGCCTCGAAACTATATAATATTAATAAATATCTGACCGGATGGTCACGTGGATATTATTTTTTAAAATTGCAATTTTCATAATATTAAATCAATCAATATATAGATAATTAAATGAACCAAGATCTTTAGTTCTACATTCGTTAGATCCACCAGCATACACCCAACTAAATATAAAACTTGATAGTATTGTTTGTCTTGACCCTGCATTATGTTGATGCCTCGAAACTATATAATATTAATAAATATCTGACCGGATGGTCACGTGGATATTATTTTTTAAAATTGCAATTTTCATAATATTAAATCAATCAATATATAGATAATTAAATGAACCAAGATCTTTAGTTCTAGATCTGGGGTGAGATCTGGATGAATGAATTGGAGTTATAAGTGTACCAAAATGGCTTGTAATGTGATATGGTTCTAAATTTCGTTCTTTTATTGTATATTTTTCTAGTTCTTCCAGTTCTCTTTTAATCATCAAATTTATATTTTGCCTTAACAATTCAATGTTCTTTTTTATATTTTTTATAAAATGTGATTTTCAAAAAATTCAACAAATGTCGATTTGCTACATGTTGTGAACAATGGTATTTTGATTTTTACTAGAGGGATTCGACGATATGCTGTATAGGTGAACCTTTGGTCGACTAAGTAAAAAAATAATTCATCGCTTACATATATATATTAATATTAATAAGTTTTATATATTTAAACTTGATATTTAAAAAATTTGCTAATCATAAAATGCATTAAAATGACCTTAATATCAATTGTTTCCTAATGTTTTTCTTAGTCTATCTATCAAGTCTTTGTCTACTTTTTCCAATTTTATGTGACCATTTTTAACATGTGGTGCGATGTTTTTTATTAAACGGTCCATTTGATAACTCACGTAAAAAATTCCTTGGAGTTTAGATTTAGACTTTCCACGCGAAATAACTATATCACAGCAGGGTTTGGCCATAGTACTGGTCCATTGGTGTAATATTTTAACCATATTTAATATTTTATTAATGCCAATGGACAATACCAAAACTCATTGGTCTCAGTCTATTGCCAACCCTGTATTACAGCATTTAATCACACCACAATCTTTTGCGTCATGCTTTGATCTCGTTCGCTGTTGAATTAAATGGTATTTTAATATTTTAACAGCAAAGTGTAAAATGATATTAAATAATTGACAGATAAAACTTACTATCTAATCAACAATGAATCATCATCTATTAAATAGTCTAGGTAACTAGGCATGAACTGATGTGAAAATGTTGATTCATAATGATATTAGATCTCTTTTGATATATTTCTTCGCCCAAATCTTCTTTCTAAAAAACAATAAAGTTAACAACATATATATATTCTTTATTCTAATATAATGAATTAATCGTCTTGCATTTTCCTAATCAACTCATGAGTTGAAAACACTTCTTCTTTTTGATATCTTGATAAACACGATAAATCCAACATTAAAGCCTTCATTTGCATAATTTGACTCAACAAACTTCTATGATTGTAGAACAAAAGCTAAAAATATCGAAACCACACTAAATTACCTCTAAACTTGGCATTTCTCGAGTTTGTTATACAGATTCCTATTATTTCTCTTTATACCTTGAGGGTTAATTATATCCGAGAATAACTAGTCATCTGGTTGTAATATTACATTGTGAAGATTTTGACCAATTGTTGATAAAATTTTATTGCCATTATTTTATGATAAATAAATGTGAAAATTTTTTAAATTTACTGAAATAAATATATAATTGTAAAATCATATATAATTGTAGTTACTTGTCTTAATTTTTCATATGCGGTTGTTGTAGAGATGTTTGTTGATGGGTCAAGATCATGCAGAAATGAAACCTCTTAAGGAACATGATTTCGAAACAATAATGTGTGTCTATCCAGATCTCTGGGATTCGCAAAAATAAATGAGTGAATGAATAAATCTATTCCTCCCTTGGTTTTGTTATCACTACTAGTGTGATGTGCATCTGCAATTAGTACAAAATTCTGCAATTTAGGAAGTTACATTTTTGGTTGATGTCTTGTTGGGATGGCATGCCTACTAACCACATTTCCTAGATGAAATAAATGATATATAATGTTTGTTTTCAATTAACTTAATTACTATTATAACTTTTTTTTGTGTCATGAAGTTAGATCCTGTTTTGTAGGTTTGGGTGAATATTTGGGCAAAAGCCCATGTCCCCTACCCAAAATTATAATTAATTTATATAGAACAAGCATTATTTTATGACTTTCCTCATAATGCCAGAACATGTGCGACCAATGTGATAAAATACTATTTCTTTTGAAGAAATCCAGCAGGCTCTTTGAAAAAGAAAGAACACAAATGCAATTTCAATAATAATAATTGCAAATTCCTCCCTGAGCTTGAAATGAGTCGCAGATTCTCATTGCTTTGATGGATTTATATGTTCATGTGGTGCGCCTAATATTACAGCTCTTCAAAATGTTGCAACCTCCAGAATTGCAACTTCTTGGTTACATAGCCAACCATCTTTACCCTAGAGGTAGGTTCATTGGAGGAAAATTTTCAGTTAGTATGCATATCCAGGTAATATCAGCTCAGGTACTGTGAAGAAAGATAGGTAAGATTTGATACAGCTTTGATAAACTTCAGTGCCATGTTACCCCTCCTTGGAATTTTCAATTGCATCATCATATCACTGGGGAATCTTGGTCAGATTAACCTTGTGTACATGGGGAATATGTGTGAATAACTGTAATGTATTCAAAGTAGCATGTCAAACATTATATATTGAATGTTTCTTTTGAAATAGTCATGTTGCCTTGACATTTTCTTGTAATAATATATTTAATATTAATATTATTATTATTATTATTATTATTATTATTAAAATAAAATGATACCAATCGTTTATTATTTTGATAAGAATAATTACCTAAAGAGACAGACAGGTTCTGTTCCACGTTTTGATTTCAATAATATACATTTATAAAATAAAAGGCACATACCAATACATTTATAAAACAATAAAATCTCCTACTATTATTAATAAATAGCATCCTGTCTTTTTTAGGAAAGCCATATCAGACAAACATTCACATTTCCTCATCTTGAACTTTTGTCTAAAAAATTAATCGCGTCCAGGGAATTACATGACAAAATTTGGTAATGATTTTCTTTTGAATAGAAACACACCAAACTCCAAAAAAAGGGTTTTAAAAAAAGATCTGCATTTCAAGCTAAAATTAATCTCCGTGATGAAATGCATAGAGTTTGGTGTGTTTCCATTGTGAACCTTTTTATTGAAGAACTTTTATTATTACTAAAAAAATTAAATAATACAAATAAATCAAACGAAAAAATTTTGTTCTACACAATCTACTTGGTCTCAATTTCTTAAACATCTAACAAAATTTGGAATTTTCAAAATGCTAAGGCTCTGACAATTTTTAGTTTAAGGAAAAACTAGCCGATAAATTTTTGAAGCTTGAGTCATGAACAATAAAACTTACCGGTTAATTTTTTTGAAGCTGACAAATTGTCACTATATATTATTAAATAATTAGATGATCTGCACCGTACAATTTGTTATTATTATTCCTTTCAAATGTCATCCATCATCATCCATCAATGATGAAGGAGAGGGAGAGAGAGTATTTTATAGTGTGATTGTATTAAGAGCTACTTTAGTTTATAGATGGTAGTGATTGTGACGCCGCAACGCGTCGCTTTAGTTTAATGATTATGGAACTGCGACGCGTCATTCTAATTTCTTTAAAATGGTTATTTTTTATTATTAAAACCAACGATGAAAATAATAATGATTTACTCAAGTAATTTGATGAATCATCCATCATCTTCTGAAAAGCATTAATGATTTTCCGATCGTTAGAGCGTTGTCCGTCGGGCACACTAAATGCTATAAGAGGATTTTTAATTGTGACCGGAGAGGATGTGATCGGTTGAGGAAATGGAAAGTTTTTTCATCAACTGGGATCTTTATTTACAAAGAAAAAGAAATAGACTTGATAAAATAATAAAAACAACCGATTTTTAGTGAATTCATAAAAAGTATGTTATTTGTCTAATAAATTATTTGATCCGAGTTCTTAGCCGGCTAAGGTTTTCTACCGGCTGACATCACTAATTGTAAATTTAGTAAATTATAATTTATTCATATTTATCATATATTTATATTTACTTTATTATATTTAAAAAATATAATAGTTTATTGAAAAATAATGTAACAATTGATTGTTTGAATAATATATTATTTAAAAAGATTTTATTACTGCTATTAATACTACTGCTGTATATTATTATCGCATTAATTAAATTTTTCTTTTCCAAAAAAAATAGATTTAATGTTAAAATTTTTATTTTAAACATTTGAATCTTTTGTAAAGTTTTTTATAGCACATAATATAAAGTAATAATAATTTAAACATGGAAAGTTCTTGTGTATATAAATTATTTACATAAATATCTTTATTAGTTAGTTGACAAGATTTGTTACGATGTAAAAAATCATAATCCTACCAGACAATGAATGGAATAGTAAGGATGATTTAATAGTGTAGATAATGCTTTAGTTAAATATTAAATTAATTAATTAAACCTGTATAATGAGAAACTTAATAATAAAATAAAATAATAATAGATTATATATCTAAAGTATCCTATGCCTTGTATCTTTTATATTTTTTAATTCACCTTGGATGATTTTAATATCATCCTTTAATCCACCAATATGTTTTTTAAATAGTCGATTTAAAAGTTTAAGATTTACTAGATCGTCATCACTGTCGTCATCGTCATTATCATTATCATTATCATCGTCATCATCATCACTATCATCATAATCGTCAACACCGTTGCCACCAATATTCCTTTTATCGTCTCCAGTACCACTGCCACTAGCACCACTATTGCTAACACTTGCTATAACATTACTACTGCCACCACCACTGCTAAAACTAGCAACACTAACTCTAGCAGCACTATTACGATTGAGGCTAATACTATTATTACCATCGCCACCCTGATCACCACCCTGATCATTATCTTTTTTGTTAACATTAATATTAATTTTACTTTTGCTTTTCTTAGTGGTGGTAATAGATTTTTTTATATTAAATATATTTTTGCTTTTAAAATTCGTTTGAAGTTGCCAATCTTCAATTTCATCAGGATCCGCCTCATAATATATCAATCCTCTTGAATGCATGGATTTATTATATGTGCTCATATGAAAACATTCAATTTCTGCCAAATATTCAGCTCTTAATTCTAGCCATGCTCTTTTACCATTCTCCTTTGCTTTTGTAAATATATCACCCATCAAAGCAATAAGAAGATTCAGTAGAACTATTGTTGTTGATAGAAAGAATAAAACTTTTAAAGTTTTAACATATACATCACCCGACCATGGATCAATTGCAGACTACGATATTAGATAAGTAAAAAATCAATAAGCATATCTATTTAATTGATGATAAATTGATGATAAATTGAGGAAATACTCACAAAATCTCCTGCTAAGAAATAAATTACAGCTGCAAGTGATGAATCATAGCTATTCCAAACATTATCACCTGGTGTTTGTTGCAATGTTATATCACCGGAAGATGCTGGTGTTGTAATATTTCCATTGTATGATGAACCAGAAGGCGTAGAGAGATCCTCAAGGTACAATTTAAATGCATGTGTAAATGCCACAATTCTAAAATAAAGTAAAAAAAATTTTTTTTCAGAATATCAAAATAAATTTAATTGCATGAACAAATAAAATATTCATTATATACTTACACTATAGCCAATACAACCAAGAACCATGTAATTTTTCTAACGACTTCAATTATAATATTTATAAAAACACCCAAAGCTTCAAAAATTCTTAATTGTAACAACTAATTATAATCAAAAAAAAAAAATAATAATAATAAAAGCGAAACATAATTATTCATATTTTTAAAGAAAATAATAATTGTAATAATAATATATAATAGAAGTTAATATAACTAGTA